GTATATACCTTGTTTTTGATGATTGTAAACTGATTTGTTCCTGATAAAGAAAGAATATAAATATACTTCTATTGTTTTTCTGTTCTGATAATCAAAATGGAAGTATCAAATGACTGTCTAATTAGAGTCCAATATCCGGTACTAAATGAAACATCTTATATTCATCACGATATGTTCTTTAGAGTAACATCAGTAGTTTACTTTATATTATAGTAATGCTATCAAATGCTGGTTCAAAACCACGTCATGTTTGATCCAGGATTGCGATTGGACATGATCAATGTCTTACGGATTGCGATCTGGGTAGCTACATGTCGAGTTTCTTCTTGAGCTTGAAAGACAGTGAAGGGCAGGGCTTAACATTGTCCCATCTCTACTCCCAGAGACCAACATAGCTACCAACATTACATTTAGTCTATGTTTACATAACTCAAATGAAAATAAGAAGTTATCCAAGAGCTTTGAATATTGTCTGTATTGATCTTCTGAACGTGATGAATGAAATCATATCATCACGATTCTAGACAAAAAGAAACTCGACTTTATTTTTCTATATCCAATTCCATCTTAATTAAAACTCCATGATTTTTATAGAAAGTTAATAATATAGCAGCATGTTCTCTAAATTATACGAACTAGCTTCGTCATTAAATAACGATCTCAGTCAGAGAAAATAAATAATAAGAATAAAGAAATCTTCAGAAGGAACACGAATTCAATTTCGCATTAATAAACGACTAAATGAAAGCATCTATCTACACACCAACAATATTTCATATTATACAAATTTTAGTGTGCAACATCTAGAACAAAAAAAAAACACTCTTTTTGCTATTCGCCATCACCAATGCAGACATTCTTAACCTGTACTGACAATTAAGCAGTTGTTACGAAAGAACGTTTATATCCCGTCTTGAAATACGATCTCTATGAGCTATTTTTTTAGATCTTATTAAGAAATAATTATAAGAGGAGGAAATCAAGTCTTCCAAGCTATTCGTCTAAACTTTTATTAGCAAAGTCTCAAATAGCTTAATTATTAGTAATAATAGTTATCTAGATTACACTAGAAACTTGGTTCTAGACAGTCTGATTTACCAAGGACACCACTAGACGTAGAGGTGAAATGTTATGTAAAGTCGAGTGTTGTCAGGAATCTAGCTCAACCTTTTGAGTTTCCGAATCACTTGTGAAAACATAGTTTGGAACTGGCAAGCTTATTCTGTAAATAATATATATATAATATAATGTTTAATTGATGATTTGTGTATCGTAACCAGGTTAAAGTCTTATTTTAAAATGCAGTTACAACAGTACATTCTTTCCGGAAAGCAAAATCTGACATTTGAATTTAATGAACTAAATGAGTTATCACACAATATATTTCCCTCTGCCGCTGAAACCGTCTCGACTTACTAAATCAAAGGTTTTAATCAATTGATGCTGATAATGATCTATAAGACAGAAATAATATTTTGAAATCGTTAATCAGGAGTAGAGTAAGCCACATTATTCAAATTAAATCGTAATATATGGGTCTGGTAGAAGCCCACGTGTAAGAGCTAATCAAGAATACAAGACCTTATTCAAATATGACTGGTCAGTGGTCTAACACCAATCATTCAATTCTAAAGCCAATGCCCAACTCTATTAACACGATCAGAACTATTTTTGGATGCCGGTCGTGATCGATTGAAAGTCTTGTTAAATCTAGTTATTAGCTTGTACCTTAAAACTGATTCCTGATCGTTCAATGTTGACCAATGAATGACCACTGACTGACCAGTTTCAAATTAATTTCAGGATTCCTGGCACATGTTCAATCATTTCTGGTCTGATTAATTTAGATTTTAAATACAACGGTGTTTAGCTGGTTACAACAACAGGACCAAGGCAAAAGAGTGGAACTCAGCTATAAAGTACCGAACAGTGTAAAAACAGAAAAAATGTTACACCTATATATAGATACTTTTTTTTTCGAGAGGTCTACAGGATTTCATATTGATGTTATGTGCTAAAAGCGATTTGGACAGAAATTCCACCACGATTTCGATAAATGACCATTGTGTTCATTTAACGGTCATTTTATTTCTTCAACTTGAGAAAACGAATGTTAAGAATGTTTGAAAATTGAAGTTATCGAAACAAACAATAAATGGGTTAACAGTATTGAATATTTTGCCTTGTGTTCGTACAAGTAAGCCTTATCTTTCTGACACAGCCTGTACAATTAAGCTAACAAAAACTAATCTGTCTTTAAACAGATTTCGACATTGATTGAAGAAAATTGAATTTTAACTGGTGGCAGAAAATGGAAAGTAATCATGTAACATTATACTAATCTGTTTGTCGATTTCGCAGAGGCAAAAACCCTCTATATGTAATTTTTCTTAACGA